TGAGAAAGGCTTGTACCGCTATATATTTTCCTCTCAGGACTGCCTTTGCTGTGTCCCACAGATTTTGAACCGTTGTGTTTTCATCATCATTTGTTTCCATGGATTTTTTCAATTCTTCTTTAATTTCCTGGTTGACCCATTCATTCTTTAGAAGGATGCTGTTTAGTCTCCATGTATTTGGGTTCTTTCCAAATTTCCTCTTGTGATTGAGTTCTAGCTTCAGAGCATTGTGGTCTGAAAATATGCAGGGAATGATCCCAATCTTTTGATACTGGTTGATACCTGATTTAGGACTGAGGATGTGATCTATTCTGGAGAATGTTCCATGTGCACTAGAGAAGAATGTGTATTCTGTTGCTTTGGGATGAAATGTTCTGAATATATCTGTGATGTCCATCTGGTCCAGTGTGTCATTTAAGGCCTTGATTTCCTTGTTGATCTTTTGCTTGGATGATCTGTCCATTTCAGTGAGGGGAGTGTTAAAGTCCCCTACTATTATTGTATTATTGTTGATGTGTTTCTTTGATTTTGTTATTAATTGGTTTATATAGTTGGCTGCTCCCACGTTAGGGGCATAGATATTTAAAATTGTTAGATCTTCTTGTTGGACAGATCCTTTGAGTATGATATAGTGTCCTTCCTCATCTCTTATTATAGTCTTTGGCGTAAAATCTAATTGATCTGATATAAGGATTGCCACCCCTGCTTTCTTCTGATGTCCATTAACATGGTAAATTGTTTTCCACCCCCTCACTTTAAATCCGGAGGTGTCTTTGGGTCTAAAATGAGTTTCTTGTAGGCAACATATAGATGGATTTTGTTTTTTTATCCATTCTGATACCCCGTGTCTTTTGATTGGGGGCATTTAGCCCATTAACATTCAGGGCAACTATTGAGAGATATGAATTTAGTGCCATTGTATTGCCTGTAAGGTGATTGTTACTGTATATTGTCTCTGTTCCTTTCTGATCTACTACTTTTAGGCTCTCTCTTTGCTTAGAGAACCCCTTTCAATATTTCCTGTAGAGCTGGTTTGGTATTTGCAAATTCTTTCAGTTTTTGTTTGTCCTGGAAGCTTTTAATCTCTCCTTCTATTTTCAATGATAGCCTAGCTGGATATAGTATTCTTGGCTGCATGTTTTTCTGGTTTAGTGCTCTGAATATATCATGCCAGCTCTTTCTGGCCTGCCAGGTCTCTGTGGATAAGTCTGCTGCCAATCTAATATTTGTACCATTGTATGTTACAGACTTCTTTTCCCAGGCTGCTTTCAGGATTTTCTCTTTGTCACTAAGACTTGCAAATTTTACTATTAGGTGACGGGGTGTGGACCTATTCTTGTTGATTTTGAGGGGGGTTCTCTGCACCTCCTGGATTTTGATGCTTGTTCCCTTTGCCATATTAGGGAAATTCTCTCCAATAATTCTCTCCAATATACCTTCTGCTCCCCTCTCTCTTTCTTCTTCTTCTGGAATCCCAATTATTCTAATGTTGTTTTGTCTTATGGTGTCAATTATCTCTTGAATTCTCCCCTCGTGATCCAGTAGCTGTTTGTCCCTCTTTTGCTCAGCTTCTTTATTCTCTGTCATTTGGTCTTCTATATCGCTAATTCTTTCTTCTGCCTCATTTATCCTAGCAGTGAGAGCCTCCATTTTTGATTGCACCTCATTAATAGCTTTTTTTAATTTCAACTTGGTTAGATTTTAGTTCTTTTATTTCTCCAGAAAGGGCTTTTATATCTCTCGAGAGGGTTTCTCTAATATCTTCCATGCCTTTTTCAAGCCTGGCTAGAACCTTGAGAATCGTCATTCTGAGCTCTAGATCTGACATATTACCAATGTCTGTATTGATTAGGTCCCTAGCCTTCGGTACTGCCTCTTGTTCTTTTTTTTGTGGTGAATTTTTCCGCCTTGTCATTTTGTCCAGATAAGAGTATATGAAGGAGCAAGTAAAGTACTAAAAGGGTGGCAAAGACCCCAGGAAAATATGCTTTAACCAAATCAGAAGAGATCCCAAATCATGGGGGGGAGAAAGGGGATAAAAAGAGGTTCAGAAAAAAAAGAAACAATTAAAAAAAGAAAACGAATAAAGAAAAAATATAAAAAAGAAAAAAAATATATATTAGATAAACTAGTTAAAAAACGTTAAAAAAGAAAAGGGTAAAAGTTAAAAAAAATTTAGCAGAAGAAGAAAAAAAAATTGAAAAAAAATTAAAATTACTGCAAGACTAAAGAATCATGGGGAGAAAGCCATGAGTTCCGTGCTTTGCTTTCTCCTCCTCTGGAATTCCGCTGCTCTCCTTGGTATTGAACCTGCACACCTTGGTAGGTGAACTTGGTCCTGGCTGGGTTTCTTGTTGATCTTCTGGGGGAGGGGCCTGTTGTAGTGATTCTCAAGCGTCTTTGCCCCCCGCGGAGCTGCACCGCCCTTACCCGGGGCCGGGCTGAGTAATCCGCTCGGGTTCGCTTTCGGGAGCTTTTGTTCCCTGAGCGCTTTCCATAGAGTCCGGAAGACGGGAATGAAGATGGCGGCCTCCCGGTCTCTGTCCCGGAGGAGCCGAGAGCCTGGGCCCCACTCCTCAGTGCGCCCCCAGAGAACAGCGCCCAATTACTCCCATCTCCCTGGCCTCCGGCCACGCTCCGAGCTGACTGAGCCTGCGACCGGTTCAAGGTAACCCCAAGCTGAGAGTCACTCCTCGGCTCTGTCTCTGTAGCCGGCTTCCCCGTTCTAATACCTGTAAGCTCTGCGACACTCAGACACCCCCGATCCTTCTGTGACCCCGCGGGACCCGAGGCCACGCTGACCTCGCGTGGGCTTCACCCCGGTTAAGCCTCTGGAGCGATGTCCCTCAGTGGAACAGACTTTTAAAAGTCCCAACTTTGTGCTCCGTTGCTCCGCCGCTTGCCGGGAGCCGGCCCCTCCCCCCGCGGTCTATCTTCCCGTCGCTTTGGAGTCACTTCTCCGCCAGTCCTACCTTTCAGAAAGTGGTTGATTTTCTGTTTCTAGAGTTGCTGTTCTTCTTCTCTTCCATCTCCCATTGGATTTGTAGGTGTTTGCAGTCTTTAGATAAGCTATCTAGCTGATCTCTCGCGACCTGAAGTAGTCTCAGCCTGCTACTTCTCCGCCATCTTGACTCCTCTCAATAAATAAAATCTTTAAAAAAAAGACTTTATTTATTTATTTGAGAGAGAGTGTATGAGCATGAGCAGGGGGAATGGCAGAGAAAGAAGCTGACTTCCTGCTGAGCAGGGAGCCAGGCATGAAGTTCTATCCCAGGACCCTGAGATCATGATCTGAGCCAAAGACAGACACTTAACCAACTGAACCACCCGGATGCCCTCAAAGGAAATCTTTCAATAAGTCTAACAAAAATCAGAAATAACAAAAAAGAATTGGTAGCAATTTTTCTTTCTTAATAAGTCTTAAAGTAAGAAAGCTACCTCTGTAGGGAGAACCTGGGACTCCCACTTTTTGCTTTATCCAGTTTTGTATTGTTTGAATTTGTTACAAAGAACATGTTTTACTTTCTTAATTAAGATGGTCTTTTAATCTTTACAAATAATTGTTTAACTTCAATAAAGTCTCTCCATGTTGTTTCACTAGTGAGTTCTAACAACATTTCAAAGTCCAGATAATTTCTTGATGGTTTAAAGCATCTCAGACATAAAGAAAGATGGAGGGCATTTCAATTGTTCTCTTGAGTTAGCACAGTTCTTTTTTTTTTTTTTTTAAATGTTATGTTAGTCACCATATAGTACACCGTTAGTTCTTGATGCAGTGTTCCAAGATTCATTGTTTGCATATAACACCCAGTGCTCCATGCAATCTGTGCTCTCCTTAATATCCACCACCCTGCTCACCCACAATTCTTATGCAAGAACCTAATAAACATAAGAATCTGCCCCCCAATTCTATTTACGGACATAGATACAAAATAACCAAAAGTACTGTTACTAAGTTGAGTCCATCAGCATGTGAAAAGAGAGTCACCCCATGAAAACACTGGGGGTGATGTCACGCTGTGAGTGCTGTCAGCACCATGCAGCAGACCCAAGAGAAATGTCACAGGATTATCTCAGTTAGAAAACTATTTTATCATCTCAACACTCATCCAAGGTACTCTTTGTTAACTAGGGAGGCAAGACGGTGGCTCCAGTGTGACTGAGTCTTTGCCACAAACTTCCAACAACAGACATGATGGAGAGCCTGCCGAAGGACCTCATTCCTACCAGACCAGTTCTGTCATCACCATTCGTTAGCATTGTCCTAGAAGGTCCAGGCAATTGAATAAGATGCAAGACGAACAAAAAGGCTTTGCTTCTGAAAAGAAGTACTCAAAAATGTCACTATTTTCAAAAGATATGTAGTCCTGTATTTAGAATTTGATGTTATTTGGGTGCTCAGCAGCATTATGGCCAGAGGCCCTTGGAACAGTGGGACCTTGCCCCAGAGCACAGCTGCACCCCTGTGTGGTCCAGGCTCACCAGCACCTGCCCTTGGGCTCCCTCCCCACATGTACACCCTCGGGAAATGTGTACAGACACAGCTGTTCTCAGCCAGTGGGAGCCTGAGCAGATGTGAAGACTCTTGTTGCATGAGATCCAGTACTCTGCCATGGAGGTACTCACCAGCACATAATTGATGTTGCCTTATATCTGGCCCCTAAGCCACCCCTGTAAACATAACCTGAACCCCCCTGTCCAAACCACTGTGATCTTCTGACCCAAGGTCCAGTGTGGTATTTCCCTGGACGCTGTTGGCTGACTTTGGTGCAGGTGCCAGCACCCAGGGTTGATAGATACTGAACATCAAAGGTGGGTGCCAGGATAGAGTTTCTCTGATGCAACCACCACAGGAGTCAGCTTTTGAAATGATGGCCAACAGTAGCTAATAATAAACTAATACGCTGGGTGAGAGGAAAAGGAAGATGGGATTGGTTGGCTGGTCACCCTCCTTCCTGAGGGTGCATTATAAAAGCTGTGGCTTCAGAGCATTCGCACAAGTCAGCAGTGACCCCAAAGTCACCATGGCTGCCTTGGGCATCACAGTTGCCCTGTTGGTATGGATGGCCACCCTAATGCTTATATCTATTGGGAAACAGATCTACAGCAGCTGGAAACTGCCCCCCGGCCCTTTTCCACTGCCCATTATCGGGAATCTTCTTCAGTTAGATATGAAGAATGTTCCAAAGTCTTTCACCAAGGTAAGAGAAATATTGTTAGTTAGGGGAGGAGAATTCAGAGATTAGACATAGTATGTGTGCATTCAATTCACTTTCAGACAAGTTGTTATTCAATTCCAGTCTGTTATGAGTGAACTGACTTAACAGTAGCATCCAAGAGGGATAGTAAAGATATTTAGTTAGTGGTACAGCTTGGACCTTGAGCTCTTGAGTGGGCATTGGCCGTGGCCGGCCCCAGAAGCCTGCTTGAGTCGTGGGTTAAATGCTTTGTCAGTGGATGGCTAGGTGAGGCCAGTGTGTCTGGGGCTGCTGCTGTTCACCGTCCCAATGTAAGGAGGGCCATGTGTTCCCACCAGATGCACATTGTAGATGCCAAAGAACAGGGTGAAAAGTGGTGTCGACCCACCTCTGGTGTAGTACCTCTGTCCACAGCTGTTGTGAATAGTGAATGAGCTAACGAATCTAAAAACTGAATGAGTTGCTAAATCTATTCCATGAGTTAATAAAAGAATGCCATAAGGCACCTAACATGTGGGGAAAGTGTTTGAGGTAAGGGAGATGTTGACAGTGCTTTGTGTACCATGGAGGATGGACTTGTGAAGGTCAGGACAGTGCTGACTCAGGGTCCTCCTGCAGCACCGTGGGGTCTGGGACTTCGGGGATGGCAGACAGTGAGGGTGATGGGGCATATGTTGGCAAAAGATCCTCAGGGGTGGGACAGGAGCCAGCCCACCAAGTTAATTTTGTCAAGGAGCTCAGGCATTCTGGACCCTTGCTCCCTGCAGAAGAAAGTCTCTATGTGAAGGGTCTTCCCAAGTCAGGCTGGACAAAGACTGTTTTTTCCCAGATCCCTCTGTGTTCTCTTGGTCAACAACAACTTTGGGTTTTAAGCCTGGCCTACCTCCTCCCTGAGTTCCCAGTGGTCTCACTTGGCTCCTTGCTTGTCTCTGCAGCTAGCAGAGCGGTACGGGCCAGTGTTCACCTTGTACCTGGGCTCCCAGCTCACTGTGGTCCTGCATGGCTACAAGGCGGTGAAGGAAGCTCTGCTTGACCACAAGAATGACCTTTCTGGCAGAGGAGAAACCTTTGCATTCCAGTTGCACAAAGACAGAGGTGAGCCCCACTTTTCAGAGGACCCCTATGGTGGGTGGGAGCCAGGGAAATACCAGGGATGATGACCACATAGCAGAGCGTACAACAAAACGGAAGAGTAAGGAGACCCTCAACAGTTCAGGTGCTTAGGACAGACTTTATTGAAACCTTCTATGACAGACTTGTAACCAAAAAAACAGGACCTCCCGCACCATCACTCTGACCAGCAGGACAGGTGTGTTATAGAGAAATACCACAGAGGGAAATGCCTCTGGCGGATGAGCTGTGCTTTCCTCCCACAGAGCTTCCAGCCTCCTGGGGCCACAGTCTGGGAAGCTCTTCTCACTCACAGCGCCCCCTGCTTCTGGGTGTTGGTGCTCCATTCCCCGAGGCCCCGCACCTAAGACCAGGCACCGATGCCCCCGAGGTATCCCGCTTGTCTGTGGGGCTGTGGGCAGCTGCAGTTCACATTCTAACCCTGGAGGCCTCTGATATGTCACCTGTGCTGTTCTGAGCACAGCAGCCCCAGCTCGCAAAGGGACTTCCTCGGGATCCCGTCTTGCCAGCCTCACCTCTCTTTCTTTGCATCCTATGTCTTCAGAGCCTGGGTTCCCATATCTAGAATAGGCAGTTACCTCGTATTAGGGATCTGGTGGTCTGAGTGTTTATTGGAGTCTTTACCTGAGTGTCATCCAGACTCCTGACTCCAGTGTCTACCTCCTGTGCCTCCTGGGACATCCTGAAGCCCCTGCGGGCACCTGCTCGTAGCTCCTCCAGCTCACAGCCCTGTGAACTTGCTGCCCACCACTGCCTGTCCCCCGACCGTGTATGCTGATTCTTTTCCACTTGCTCACTGTCATTTTAGCATCCGTATTCATCAGGGATATTAGTCTGAAATTCTCTTTTTTGGTGGGGTCTTTGCCTGGTTCAGGGATCATGGTAATGCTGTCTTCATAAAAAGAGTCTGGAAATTTTCCTTCTGCTTCAATATTTTGAAAAAGCTTCAGGAGAATAGGTATTATTTCTTCTTTGAAAGTTTGGTAGAATTCCCCAGGGAATCTTTCAGGTCCCAGGCTCTTGTTTTTTTGGGAGGTTTTTAATCACTGCTTCAATCTCGTTACTAAATATTGGTCTATTCAGGTTGTCAATTTCTTCCTGATTCAATTTTGGAAGTTTATAGGTTTAAGGAATGTATCCATTTCTTCTAGGTTGCTTAACTTATTGGCACATAACTGTTGATAATAATTTCTGATGATTGTTTCTGTTTCCTTGGTGTTAGTCGTAATCTCTTTTCATTCATAATTTTATTAATTTGGGTCTTCTCTCTTTTCTTTTGGATTAGTTTGGCCAATGGTTTATTAATCTTATTGATTTTTTCAAAAAACCAGCTTCTAGTTTCATTGATGTGTTTTACTGTATCTCTAGTTTCTATCTCATTGATCCTGCTTTTATCTTGATTATTTCCCTTCTTGTGTGTGGAGTTGGCTTAACTTGTTTTTGATTCTCCAGTTCTTTAAGGTGTAACGAGAGCTGCTGTATTCTGGATTTTTCCAATTTTTTTTGAGGGAGGCTTGGATGGCTATGTTTTCCCCCCTTAGGACAGCCTTTGCTGTATCCCATAGGTTTTGGACCAAAGTGTCTTCATTCTCATTGGTTTCCATGAATTGTTTAAGATCTTCTTTGATTTCCTGGTTGATCCAAACATTCTTAAGCAAGGTGGTCTTTAGCTTCCAGGTGTTTGAATTCCTTCTGAACTTTTCCTTGTGGTTGAGCTCCAGTTTCAAAGCAATATGATCTGAGAATATGCAGGGAATAATCTCAATCTTTTGGTATTGGTTGAGCCCTGATTTGTGACCCAGTATGTGGTCTATTCTGGAGAAGGTTCCATGTGCACTTGAGAAGAATGAGTATTCTGTTGTTTTAGGGTGGAATGTTCTGTATATATCTATGAGTTCCATCTGGTCCAACGTGTCATTCACTGCTCTTGTTTCTTTATTGATTTTCTGCTTGGATGGTCTGTCTATTACTGAGAGTGGCGTGTTAAGATCCCCTACTATTAATGTATTAATATCAATATGATTCTTTATCTTGATTAACAGATGTTTTATGTAGTTGGCTGCTCCCATATTGAAGGCATAAATATTTACAACTGTTAGATCTTCTTGGTGGATAGACCCTTTAAGAATGATGTAGTGTCCTTCTGAACCCATTCTCAACAAGATCCTAGCTAATAGAATCCAACAGTACATTAAAGAGATTATCCACCATGACCAGGTGGGATTTATCCCTGGGTTGCAAGTGTGGTTCAACATTAACAAATCAATCAATGTGATAGAACAAATTAGTAAGAGAATAGAGAAGAACCACATGGTCCTCTCAATTGATGCAGAAAAAGCATTTGACAAGATCCAGCATCCGTTCCTGATTAAAATGCTTCAAAGTATAGGGATACAGGGAACATTCCTCAACTTCATAAAATCTATCTATGAAAGACCCACAGCAAATATCATCCTCAATGGGGAAAAGGGGACAGCCTTCCCATTGAGATCAGGAACACGACAAGGATGTTCACTCTCACCACTCTTGTTCAACATAGTATTAGAAGTCCTAGCAACAGCAATCAGACAAGAAAGAGAAATAAAATGTATTCAAATTGGCAATGAAGAAGTCCAACTCTCTCTCTTTGCAGATGGCATGATAGTTTATATGGAAAACCCAAAAGACTCCATCCCCAAACTACTAGAACTCATAAAGCAATTCAGTAATGTGGCTGGATACAAACTCAATGCACAGAAATCAATTGTTTTCTTATACACGAACAATGAAAATACAGAAAGGGAACTTAGAGAATCAATTCCATTTACTATAGCACCAAAAACCATAAGATACCTGGGAATAAACCTAACCAAAAAGGTATAGGATCTGTACTCTAGGAATTACAGAACACTCATGAAAGAAATTTAAGAAGACACAAAAAGATGGAAGACCATTCCATGCTCATGGATTGGAAGAATAAACATTGTTAAAATGTCTATACTGCCTAGAACAATCTATACTCTCAATGCCATTTTGATCAAAATTCCACTGACATTTTTCAAAGAACTGGAGCAAACAATCCTAAAATTTGTATGGAATCAGAAGAGACCCTGAATTGCTAAGGAAATGTTGAAAAAAAAAAAAAAAAAACAAAACTGGGGGCATCATGTTGCCAGATTTCAAGCTTTACTACAAAGCTGTGATCACCAAGATAGCATGGTACTGGCTCACGTAGTTTTAGTGAGATTCTAAAGTAGATGAGGAAGAAAGCAGTGTCCTGTCTACCCTACAAAACCCAGAAGCCTCTAGTTTTTCCTTAGTTAACTTTGGTGACAAATCTCTAGAAAACCTGTATCCACTTTATGTAGAAATTTCCAACTGATGTGCTTCCAGCTGTGTCTGCTGTTCTTATGTGCCGTCCCCTCATTCCCATCTACTTGCACAAGGTCGAACCCTATCACCGTCAGTGGCATCTGATTTTCTTTCTTGGACATTGTGGGCTGGTTTTACATCTTTGGGGTTGCTGAAAGCAAAGTTAACTTCCTCAGTTTTTATCATTAACACAAGAGGAGCTTTGCTGCCCCACAAGAGCAGGAGTTGTGGGGTCAAGGAGCTTCATCCTGGTTCCAGGGAGCCCTTACCTGCCACCCCTGGTCCAAGTCATGGGCCCCTGAATGCAGCCAGGCAGGGGCCATATTCACATTTTATGCGTTGGACTCATGGGGCTTTGTCCTGTCCTGCCTGTGGTTCCCAAGTCCTATTTTCACATGTGCCACGTGGCCCAGACCCTGTCCATGGGACACCTCTGATGCCCTAGACATAATGATGCAAATGTTAACTGTCAACATTGTACTGAGCACAGGGCCCACATTAATTCCAATAAATTTCACTTCAGTGAATGTTTGTGAGGCGCTGACCCAGAAGCGTTACTGTCTCTATTTCAGCCTGTTTGGGGTTCCAAAGTCTTAGCTCCTCTGGGATCTCCCTCTCTGTCTCTCTATCTCTGTCTGTCTCTCTGCCTCTGTGTTTGTCTCTCTGTCCCTCTGTCTCTCTCTGTCTCTTCGTCTCTGTCTTTGTTCATATGTCTCTCTGTCTTTGTCAGTGTTTTTCTTTCTTCTCCTTGTTTATTCCTCTGTCTCTCTGTGTCTCTGTCTTGTCTCTCTTTCTCTGTTTTATCTCTTTGTCTATGTCTCTACCTTTGTCTCTCTTTCTTTGTCTTGTCATTCTGTCTCTCTTTGTCTCTGTCACTCTGTCTCTCATCTCTCTGTGTCTTGTTTCTTTGTCTCTGTCTTATCTATTTGTCTCTGTCTCTCTCTGTCTCTCTTTGTCTCTGTCATTCTGTCTCTCTGTTTCTGTCTCAGTTTCTTGTCTCTCTGTCTCAGTCTATGTCTCCAACTCTTTCTCTCTGTCTCCCCTTTGTCCCTCTGTCTCTCTCTGTCTCTGTCTTGTTTCTCTGTCTCTGTCTCTGTCTCTCTGTCTCTCTGTCCATTGCTCACATATTCTGGCCTCTCCCACCTTCCCCCTGCTACACAATTCTTTCCAGAACCATCTTAAAATTGTCTGTCTCCTTGTCCACCCCCCCAGCCCCCATGTCACAGCCATTTAGGTCCACTGGGCACTCCTACTTTCTACGTTCCCTGCCAGTTTCTCAACCCTTAGCCCATAGCTCTGGCCTCTGGCCTGCCAAGGGCACACTCTCTAGTGCCCCCCGCTTGTCTGCCCCACGTCCTGGGGCAGGATCTGTCTGCTGCAGCCACCAGAGGATGGAGCCACTGGAGCCCACTGCTGAGACATCAGTGGACCCCACAGACACATGGGAGTATGGTCACACATGCCTGGGATCCCTCTTGGGCTGCCCAGCTGTGTCCCCGGCATCCACCTAGCAGGCTCCACAGGGTCCTGCAGGCACCCAAAGCTCCTCATGCACAGACCCAAATGCAGGAACCCAAATGCCATCTCTCAATGGACGGCCCCTCTAAGGAGGACCCTGGGTGCCATGTACGCTCCAAGCACTCCCACCCAGTCAGGGGCCATGCTGTCCAGCCAGCTGTTGTCTCTATCTCATGTTCTCTTTGGGTGGAACTGGACCCTAGTGTGACCAGTGCTACCCCTCCCCCCGCCTCATCTCACACCTCCATCCCCCTCCCCGCCTCATCTCACACCTCCTGGCCCTCCCTGCCTCATCTCAAACCTCCATCCCCCTCCCTGCCTCATCTCACACCTCCTGGTCCCTCCCCGCCTCATCTCACATCTCCATCCCCCTCCCCGCCTCATCTCACACCTCCATCCCCCTCCCCGCCTCATCTCACACCTCCTGGTCCCTCCACACCTCATCTCACACCTCCATCCCCCTCCCCGCCTCATCTCACACCTCCATCCCCCTCCCCGCCTCATCTCACACCTCCATCCCCCTCCCTGCCTCATCTCACACCTCCTGGTCCCTCCCCGCCTCATCTCACACCTCCATCCCCCTCCCCGCCTCATCTCACACCTCCATCCCCCTCCCTGCCTCATCTCACACCTCCATCCCCCTCCCTGCCTCATCTCACACCTCCTGGTCCCTCCCTGCCTCATCTCACACCTCCATCCCCCTCCCTGCCTCATCTCACACCTCCATCCCCCTCCCTGCCTCATCTCACACCTCCTGGTCGCTCCCCGCCTCATCTCACACCTCCATCCCCCTCCCTGCCTCATCTCACACCTCCTGGTCCCTCCCCACCTCATCTCACATCTCCATCCCCCTCCCTGCCTCATCTCACACCTCCATCCCCCTCCCTGCCTCATCTCACACCTCCATCCCCTTCCCTGCCTCATCTCACACCTGGTCCCTCCCCGCCTCATCTCACACCTCCATCCCCCTCCCCGCCTCTGACCCTCCAGACTTCCTTCTAGGATGCACAGTGCCTCGGCCTCCCTCAGACCTCTGCTTGCGCCTCCAAGGGGAATGTGCACGAGGTCTTCCCATATCCAGAGGCTGGCAGAGTCTGGGAGCTGAATGACAGCTCAGGTTTCAGTAAGGACACTTTCTAATTTGTAGTGTGGAAGTTCGAAACCAGTGGAAACAGCACAACTTCTGGAAAAGGGGCAGGGGCTTTCACTGGTGGGCAGCTGTGGTTTTGTTTCATGTGGGAAGCCTCTGGGCAAAGTGGACAAAGGCAGTAAACGGATGGTGGGAAGAACACCGGGGGAGGTGAGGTGTCAGGTGGAAAGCCAGCATTAGGGCACAAGCCAGGATTCTGGACACCAGGAGCCCCGGTGCTTGGGTGCCCAGGCCGGTCAGTTCACCACTTGGGTCCCTCCCGCCTGGAGCTGCTCACCTTGTCACTCTGCCCCGGGGCGTGCAGTAAGTGCTCTGCTGTCCCCTCTTCCCCAGGGATTACTTTCAACAATGGACCAGGCTGGAAGGACACCCGAAGACTCTCCCTGACGACGCTCCGGGACTACGGCATGGGGAAGCGTGGCGACGAAGAGCGGATCCAGAGGGAGATCCCCTTCCTGCTGGAGGCGCTCAGGGGCACCCAGGGTGCGTGTGGCCACCGGGTCTTTGCACACATGGTCTGGGGGGCAGCCTTGGTGGGCCTGCGAGATCCCGGACTGAACCGAAGCAGCTGGAGCTGAGAGGGTTGCCTTAATCCACAGACACCGTCTGCAGCTCTGGTCCTCTCCATGTCCGGTGTGTTTATCTGGAATAACTGGAAAGTAAAGGGACCCCCCCCACCCCAACAATAGGCTCCCACAAGCCTTGTAGAATTATGGGGATGTTTAGGACAACAGATCACAGACTCTGGGAAGTGTGAGTGGGTGGGAGCCGGCCTGACCGCTCCCCTGTGTTGCAGGCCAGCCCTTCGACCCCACCTTTCTGCTGGGGTTTGCCCCCTGCAACGTCATCGCTGACATCCTCTTCCGTAAGCACTTCGACTACACAGACGAGACTGGCCTGAGGATACAGAGGCTCTTCAATGAGAACTTCAGGCTGCTCAGCACGGGCTGGCTCCAAGTGAGGCCCCTTAGTCTGCACTTGCCCATGTCTGCTCCACTGAGGTTAGGAAAAGAATGAGGACTGGACCTGGGGGACAGGCAGACAGGACCACAAAACCAGGGAACACCCAGGGCTAGTGCAACTCACCATCTGAGAGCCTGGAGGTTGCTTCTGGAGACATCCATGGGCCCAGTGTTTGCCTTGCTGACCACGGGAGGCCGTTTTACCCTTTAAAACAGGACCCTGCTAACATGCGACCCCACACACCCCACAACGTGGTGCCGATGTGAGCCCAAATGTTCTAAATATCACAATATGACATCCATGAGTTCAAGTCGGAGGAAATAAATAGCCCAGTACATAAAACCGTGTTGCATCTGGAAAAGAAAATAGAAATCCCTCCCCCTCTTTTTCTAGCTTTATAACATTTTCCCAAGCTATCTGCACTACCTGCCTGGAAGCCATTGGAAAATATTAAGAAACGTGTCTGAAATAAAAGATTACACTTTGGCAAGAGTGAAGGAGCACCAGCGGTCACTCAACACCGGCTGCCTCCGGGACTTCACGGACTGCCTGCTCCTGGAGCTGCAGAAGGTACGTGCGGACGCTGGCCCCCCGACCCCACCCAGCTAGACACGTTTGCTTGTGGGACAGGCGCGTGCACATGGCGGTCGACACCGTGACACTCCTGCGGCCCCCAGGCGCATGTTCTGATGTTCCTGGTCTGACCACACCCTGGCTTCATGTAACCGTCCCACCTGTGTGTGTGGGGGTGCAGACCTTGCCTGCCCGGCTGGCCTCACCATGCACACGCTGGTCAGCAAGGTGGCTTTGCTGGGGACGCCCTCGTTGGCCGCCAGGCCGGGTGTGTGGCCCCTCATGGTGGTTCCCTCCAGGCTGTACTTCCTCACCATTTCTGACTTTGATGACTGTGTCTCCTTTGGGGAGAAGCCCTCCACCCTCCTCATCAGCATGTGAACCCCAAATTGTACATGACTTCATGGGTTTCCAGGTCCATCCAGCATCATCTTTTTGACAGCCCTTTGGGACCCCCACCCCAATGGTGAAGCTTCTCCTCTCTCCTCTGACATCTCTTGTGCTTCTAGAACAGTATGTGAATTCCTGGATAACTGCGGGGGGCTGTCTGAGAAACTCTTCCACGAGTGGGGCTCCTCACTGCCCCTCCTGGGTGTGTGGCGTCCTGGTGACTTCCCTGCCTCCTAGACCCAATGGTGCTGACTGTAGGTGTGGAGGAGGCCCAGTGCAGTGTGTGCGTTGGGTTGTTAGCATGGGCCCCACAGCTCAGTCCCGGGCAGCTGGAGGTCATGGCTCAGGACTAGGGAGAGTCTTACTGCACTCCTTGCTGCCCCACCCCCCATGGCTCCGCTCTGTAGGAGGAACACTAGAGCTGCACAGCCCAGGGGAGGAGCACAGTCCTGCCTGTGGCAGGTCTTCTGGGAGCCTTGGTTTCCCTAGTTGTGCCATGGAGATGATCATGTCTCCACAGGATAACTTCATGCACATCTGCCCTCTCCTCCCTGTGGAGCTGACAGCAAGGCTGTTGGGTGTGTTTGAGGTGGAGGGAGACAGAGGTCTCTTTCTCATCCACCGAGGAGCTCTTCTAATGGAGTCCCTGTGTATCTCTAATGTCTGCAGGAAAGATACAGTTCAGAGCCCTGGTTCACCCTGGACAATATTGCTGTGACTGTGGCTGACCTGTTCATTGCGGGCACACAGACCATCAGCATCACTCTGAGATATGGGCTCCTGGTCCTCATGAAATATCCAGAGGTCGAAGGTATGCTGCACAGGAGACAGGGTTCTGGGGCCACACTTTGTCAGGCCGGAGTGTTTAGGGTGCAGCTTTCTGCCTGCGAAATGAAAGGCTGGCCTTGCTTGCTAAGCCTCATGGCAGTGACACGGGGGTCACCGCCTGGATTCAGTGGAAGCGCTCCTGTATGATGGGTGCCTGGCACTCTTGGACGCTGTGCCCCGTGCCCCACTGACACATACCTGATTTCAGAACAGAAGAGCCTGCAGCAGCATGTGGAAAAGCAATGCCTTCTGCATTCTGCTGCACAAAATAACCTACTTATGACAGTGAAAATAATGTCTACCTTGCCCCAGAACAAGACCTGGCTGGCTACACAGAGCACAGAGAGAGAGGGCAGGATGGGGTGAGGGTGTCCTTATGGCTAAGAGCCTGCCCCAGCGTCCCGGCTGCCCCTGGGCTCTGCTCCGGGGAACACTCATCACCCTGAGGCAAGCTTGCTGCTGCTGCTCATAATAATTTGGCTCCTGCTGTGTGCCATGCATGGGTAGGAGCCCTGAAATACACTGTATTCTTAAGGGCAGGTATTTTGGGATACGAGGTAATTTCCCTCAGGGATGCGGACTGTGACCTGTGCAGGATCAGACCTGACCCCAAAGGCATTGCTTTTTCTGTCTCACAGAAGGGTTAGGGGTGAAGGAGCCCAAGTCTCTGGAGCAAAGCCTTCCACAGATCTGAGAACTTCTGACCAGTCTGGACCGGGGGGACTATAGCCTGAGAAACTGTGATTAGTTGTGAGCAATCTCCAATATAGAGAAAAAGACAGAAAGTAAATAGGACTGACACCCACACACCATTGCCGGATCTGACACGTGTTAGCCTTTCACAGGAGCTGCTTTGGGGCTCTTGGAAACCTGTTGCTGAAGCCCTGCCCACCCCAGGCTTGTCCCAGGACTGTGTGTGTCACCTCTGCACTCAGCTTCGTACCCTTAGTGCTGGTTCAGTGTCAGCAGGAGTTTTACACTTTTACCTGGGAACCATACAGCACATGACTTTGTCATTCACTCAGCATACTGCAAAGGCCCCAGCAACTTGTCAGAGAGGGAGGTCCGGACTCTGCTCCTCCATTCTTCATGCAGAAGGCCACATGCACCTGTTTGCATTCTGCCTCTCACCTCCACAGCTCCTGAAGCGCGCAGTAAACCAGCTGGGGGTAATGATTAATACAGAGATTTCCCTCCACCTGAAATTTTTTTTTAAAGATTTTATTTATTTATTTGTCAGAGAGAGAGAGAGAGAGCACAGGCAGACAGAGTGGCAGGCAGAGGCAGAGGGAGAAGCAGGCTCCCCACAGAACAAGGAGCCCGATGTGGGACTCGATCCCAGGACGCTGGGATCATGACCTGAGCCGAAGGCAGCTGCTTAACCAACTGAGCCACCCAGGCGTCCCTCCACCTGAAATTTCTAAGACCTTTTTGTTACCCTCTACTTCGGGCGTCAGGTCAGGCACTGGATTAGCTGCCATCAGCTAACAGCTGACCCTAGCCGCACAGAGCGTGACTCTCATTGGCCTTCGTGGAGGAATTATCCAAGGGTCTCCAGCATCCAGGACACCCCCAAGCACTGCTGAGAGTGCCCTGTAAGCCTCTGCTCGGCGGGCGGGTGGGTGTGAGCCGGCCTGGAGCGGGTCCTCTGCATCTGTCCTCTTCATGTCTCGGCAGAGAAACTCCACAAAGAAATCGACAGGGTGATCGGGCCAAGCCGCATCCCTGCCATCAAGGACAGGCTGGAGATGCCCTACATGGACGCCGTGGTGCACGAGATTCAGCGGTTCGTCGACCTCCTGCCCTCCAACCTGCCCCACAAAGCAAACCGGGACACGGTGTTCAGAGGTTACATCATCCCCAAGGTCAGATGGGGCCTGATGTGCACACCCTGAGCACCACCCGCCAGCCCGTCTGCTGGCCCACGGGAAGGCAGAGTCCCTTGACAGATGTGGCTGAATGGTGGGGGCCAGGCCAGAGTTCTGCCCCCTGGAGTGCTGCTTCCCCAGCAGTCCTCACATGGACCTGGTGACCAAGCAGTGGAGAAAATCTGGAAGGGGACCCCTGGGCCAGTGCCTGGCTTTGTGGTACTTCCACCCCAGGAACCACGGGTAGTACCATCTAGCCCATGAGCTCCTCCAGTGATGAGATTAGAGCTCTCGCCTCTCTTTAGAACTGACCCCTGACTGCCTCCCATCTAGTCCTGAAGCAGACGACTTCCCCCGCCGGGAGTCCCCGTGGAAAGCCCATGTTCTGGCAACTTGACTGACGCTAGCCTTTGTTCCTTCTAGGGCACGGTTGTAATTCCAACCCTGGACTCCCTCTTGTTTGACAAGCAAGAATTCCCTGATCCAGAGAAGTTTAAGCCAGAGCACTTTCTGAATGAAAATGGGAAGTTCAAATATAGTGACTATTTTAAAGCATTTTCTGCAGGTAAGACGAGTGAAGATGTAGGTAGGGTCTTCCCTGGGAACTGTCCCTCATTCCTGCTCTCTGCCATGGTCAAGCACTTGTACGGGGACCCAGATGTCTTCTTCTCGTCCACAGAGGCCAAATGGCATCTTCTCATCAGAGGTCCTAGGAATGAGAGGAATTTCCCCTTCTGCATAGCAGATACTGTTCTTCATCCAGTGCTAAAATCCTATCCAATAGTGCTTAGTGAAAATCCCTCAAAACTTTATTACCGAATTCTCCATACTTTTAAACAAGGGTCAATAAATGAAACCTCAGGGTTGGTTACCGGGACTCACCATGGGACACTCTGGCCTTCCCTAGGCTGTGTCCTGGTGTCCTCTCTCGGGCCCTTGGTCTCTCCCAGGGCCCTTCCTCAGTGGTTGGTGGGAGGGAGTCCATGTAGGCAAATCCCTGATACTCCGTGTTAGAGGCCACCTTCCAGCTGTGGCCCCACTTCTTTCCTGCAGGATGTTAGGGGAGCACTGGGCAGAGATCCCTGTTCCAATCCCATATAGGTTTATGCTGCTGAGTCCTGGTGAAGGAGACCGTATGAAGCCCTGTCCCCGAATATGTCTATCACGGATATTTTTATACTGAACGATGTCATGTGCTTCCTTCTAAGGGGCAGAGAGGGGTCCGTTCTGCTTGAGGGTGACAGCTTACCCACAACCTCCTCCGCCCAGCCCCCCTCTGCTGCCTCACCTGTGCTGCCTCAGAATCTCAGGAGCACTGTTGTCACTTCCAGGAAAGCGGGTGTGTGTTGGAGAAGGCCTGGCTCGCATGGAATTGTTCCTGTTCTTGTCCGCTATTCTGCAACACTTTAACCTGAAGTCTCTTGTTGACCCCAAGGATATTGACCTCAGTCCCATGGCAGTCGGGTTTGCCAAGATCCCACCCCATTACAAACTCTGTCTCATTCCCCGCTCAGGCTGAAAACCAGCCCCACCCCCGCCCCAGGCTCTCTGGGGCAAACCTGGAGTTACCCCACGCCCCCACACCCCCTCAGCACCTCCAGGAAGACCCTTTCTGCAGAGTCTCAGTGAAAGCAGTTCGCTTCACAGGGAATAAATTGGGCCAGAGATGCTGCTTTCCACAGTTATGTGCATCAGATGAAATTTGTGTAAAGCTAATTAAACAAATTGAAACAAACTGCGACCTAGTTGAGTCTGTGCCGGGGTCCCTGGAAACAAGGGTGAGCGGTACTCTGGGAAGGTAAACACACATCTTCCAGGAAAGCACAGTAGCCGGCCACCAGGGCTCACAAAAAAGAATACCGATGCTGTTCTGTAGTTTGGAAAAGCGGAAAATAATAGACCTTTGAAGGCTTGTCAACCATGTCAAAAATGTATCTCCTACCATCTGTCCCTGGGATAAGAAGTTCCTTTGGGCTCGCTTCTCAGCACCACGTGCTATATTTTAAGATTAAAATATGCCCGAAAAGTCAACATAGACATCTGTTTTTATCTCTTATCATTAAAATGTGACTTCGTACCTGGAACAAAAATTCTAGGCTCGTGGGAACCCTGGGTGGAATAAGGCAGAAATGAGGAAATAACGATTAATCGGCTCAGTGAACTAAAACATGTCGTGAAGCAGAAGAGGAGTTTGGAACAAGAACTCTGTCCGCACCCTGTCAGCTCTCCCCAAAGCCCCCTGGGTGCTCAGCCTTCATGCTCTGACTGCCCCCCTGTGGGACGGGCCTGATGGAGGCCCCTCTACCCCATAGCCCATGAGGGCCGGGCGGTGTAGGCTTGCGAGTCTTTGGAAGCTGTGAGGCAACCAGAAGTCCTGCATAAATGTTCCTTCATAAAATGAGTGATGTTTCGAAGCCAGTCACGCAGCAGCTTTCAGTCTCTCTTGGGCTGACCCCCCGCCTCCCTCTTATACGGGTCCTGTGATGATCATGGGTCCACCCAGATAACACAGGATCGTCTCCCTGTCTTAGAGCTCCTACCTTCATCGCACATTCAGAACCCCTTCTCCAGGTAAGGTGGCATAACCTTGGGCTCCGGGATTGGGACGTGTGTGCCATCCTACCCACCATGAGGCACTAGCAAAACCAACACTGACAGATGGGCAAATCACAAACTGAGGACCGGCTGCTCCATTCTGAAAGCTGTCTGTCATTTTCCTGACACACCTACACGGGGGTAATACTGCTTCCAACAGAAAAAGATAAGAACGTGTCTTTTCATTTTCTCTGGGGATTTAAAGTTGAGAGAATGTCTAGGAAAATCCTAAAGTACTCAAAAGTGATGGAAAACGTTGGGAGGGAGAGTGGGGGGTGTTGGGGTGTGAGTGTTCAACGGATTCGGGCAGCAGCTGGCTATCAACAGGATTGGGTTGGTTCCTCTTCAGCACATTCCAGAATGCCTCCATGTTATGGTCTCCCAAGCTCCAGCTCTTAACGAGCCCTGCTGTCCCCTCAAGGACAAGCGTGGACTGCCCGGTAAAACTAGCTGGAAAATTAGTCTGAACTTAAGAAACCCTCCACTGATCTGAACCACCTTGGGCAGAACAGGAAGAGAAAGGGTGGGGCGGACACGGGAACGGAGGAATGACTGCTCTGTTTGCTGTAACGAGGCGCCACAGACTCGGGTTTATCACTGACTGAAAGGTATGAAGGCTGGAAGTCCAAGGTCCGGATGCCAGCAGAGTGGGGTTCTGGGGAGGGCAGATGGCTTTTGGGTCGCAGATGGGTGACTTCCTGCTATGTTCTCATGTGCAGAAAGGGAAGTAGGTAGCTCTCTGGCCTCTTTTCCTAAGAGCACTGGTTTCATTCATGGTCAGATCACCTCCCAAAGGCCATTCCTCCTAAGACCATCACACTGGGATTAGGGCTTCCACATAGGAATTCTGGGGGACACAGACATTTAGTCTATAGCATTCCATTCCTAGCTTCCCCGAATTCACATCTTCCCAGCGTAGAACACGCTCCCTCCATCCCAGCAGCTTCAAAGTCTTACTGCTTGCAGTCAGCGTTTAAGTCCTAAATCCTGTCTCCTCTAAATACCCACTGAATCAGATGGGGGTCAGACTGGAGGCACTGTTTCTTCTCAAGCAGAACCTCTCTCCAGCTGTTACCCATGATGCCAAAGGAGTTATGTGGTGGGGCAGTCATCCGATAGACACTCCCATGTCAAAAGGGAGAAATGGAGCACAGAGCCTTTACCTCCTTGGTCAGGCATATTCCCAGGTGTTTTATGGTTTTTGGTGCAATAGTAAATGGAATCAGCTCTCTAATTCCCCTTTCTGTATTTTCATTGTTAGTGTGCGAGAAAGCAACTGATTTCTGTGCATTGACTTTGTATCCTGCCACATTACTGAACTGCTGTATGAGTTCTAGTAGTTTGGGGGTGGAGTCTTTTGGGTTTTCCATATAAACTATCACGTCATATTCACAAATGACAGTACAAAGAGCTGATATTCAAGATCTATAAAAAACTCCTCACACTCAACACCTCAAAAACAGATAATCACATCAAAAAAATGGGCAGAAGACATGAGCAGACACTTCTCCAAAGAAGACATACAAATGGCCAACAGACACTTGAAAAATGTTCAACATCATTAGCCATTAGGGAAATACAAATCAAAATGCAATGAGGTACAATGTTACACTAGTCAGAATGGCAAAAATTAACAAGACAGGAAACAACAAATGTTGGCAAGGATGTGGAGAAAAGGGAACCCTCCTACACTGTTGGGAATGCAAGCTGGTGCAGCCGCTCTGGAAAACAGTATGGAGTTTCCTCAAGACGTTAAAAATAGAGCTACCCCATGACCCAGCAATTACACTACTGGGTATTTATCCCAAAGATACAGATGTAGTTAAAAGAAGGGGCACCTGCACCCCAACATTCATAGTAGCAATGTCCACAATTTCCAAACTGTGGAAGGAGCCGAGATGTTCTTTAACAGACGATGGATAAAGAAGATGTGGTTCATATATACAATGGAGTATTACGCAGCCACCAGAAAGGACGACCATCTACCATTTGCATAGACATGGATGGGACTGGAGGGGATTGTGTAGGTGAAATAAGTCAATCAGAGAAACATAATTATCATATGGTTTCACTCACACGTGGAACATAAGGAATAGTGCAGAGGACAATAGGAGAAGGGAGGGAGACCAAGCATATGAGACTCTTGACTCCGGGAACCAAATGAGGGTTGTGGAAGCAGAGGCTGGCGGGGGATGGGACAACTCAGCGACGGGCAGTAAGGAGGGCACGTGGTGTGATGAGCACTGGGTATTGTACACAACTGGTGAATCACTGAACATTATATAAAAAACTAATGATATCAAAAATCAATGATGATACGTTGGCTAATTGAATTTAAATTAAAAAACAAAAAATGGAAAAATAAAGAAATTAGTTGTAAAGGAACAAAGAAAGAAAGAGAAGGAAAATTTTAACTGAAAGATCAAAGAATCATGAGAAATAACCTCAAATTCTATGTGCCGTTTTCCCCTAGCCCTGGGGTTTTGCAGTCCCGTGCGCGTCTTGAGCTCGATACCCGCCTGCTGTTCCCGCTGGTCTGCTCGGGGAGGGGCCTGCTGTGCGGATTCTCGGTGGCTTTGCCTGGGTGGAGGCGCGTGGCCCCTTCCCGGGGCCGGGGTCAGTGTAAGCAGCTCCGGGTTGCCCTATGTGGCTTTTCTTCCCTGAAGGCTTTTCACACTTCAGAGGATGAAAATAAAAACGGCCACACCCTGACGTCCAGCCCGAGAGCTGAAAGATCGGGGGCGCCTCTCTCTTCACAGGCCCTCAGGGAGAAGCGCTTTTCACCCCATCTGAAGTTGGCTCCCATCCACTGCTGAAGCAGAACTGCCCAGGGCTCAGGCCCTGCTCCTCGGGCGGTGGGGGTTTCGTGTTTGCGGCTGGAGCGGCGGGAGCCCTTTCAGGAGGGAACCCCCTCAGCATCCTTGGGACAGAGAAACCGATGCGTCTGTCGTTCCCCGGTGTGACTGGGACTGGGATGGGCGAGGATCTGTTCCTGTGGCCTGAAGCTGAGGGCAGAGGAGCGCGCCCTCCTCGGCTCTGATCGAAGCCAGGAGTGCCTGAGGCTTTATGAGCAGGTTGGGTCCTTCCACAGCCAGGAAACGGGGATACCGCATGGGTCGGTGGTCCGGGGCTTTACGGCTCCCTGTCACGGAGCAGAGGAAGGTCTGGGATGGGGCTCCTGCGCCTCCATCAGGAAGGAGTCCTTCGGGGTCCTGTGTGAGACGGAGAAGGACACAAACCGAAAGTCACCTGCAGCGCCGTGGAAACCGATGGTAAGTGTCCAGCGCCCTGACTGCCCGGTTCGGGATGGCTTTCTAGCACAGCGACATGCTCGTGCATCAAGTGCGGTGTTGGGGAAAGAGCACAGACCACGCTGTTTTAATAAGAAGAAGTGTGCTTCTGTTGGTTCTTCCCACCCCGCCAAACCTCCTCCCATCCTCGAAGCTGGATGTGAGCCCCCTCCTGGGTCCCTGATGGCCTTCGTCTCCTTCTGCCGGGACTCAGGGGCCACATCTGTGCCGCACTCCGGTGCTTCTCCCACAGCCCCTTGTGGGTTGGGGTGGGCCGGAGAGCCTCCTGCTCCCACCCGCTGGGTTTCCTTCCTGTGTCCACCACATGCCAGCCGAGGACCTCGGCCCCAATTTTGGAAACCTCTCAAAGGCCATGACTGCTTTTTCTGCCGAACACAAATGTTTATTTATGAAGTCCACTTTCGTTTGCAGAGTGCGCGTCCCTCGGGGCAAGGAGTCCCCCACCACTGCCGTCTTCAAGAGCTGCTGGTACCACGTGCCCCGCTCCCAGACACAGAAACACGGAACCCTCTTTAAGTTTCCTTGGGAGGTCCCTGTATCATGCCAATGGTTATTTTGTTTTTGTTTCTGTTTTTAAGCAGGAGAAAGACTAAAAGGAGTGAGTTTGTGTTGTTGGGATGAAAAACAAACCTGTCCTGGGAGACCACGGCTGGGGCAGTCGGTTGAGCATCAACTCTCCGTTCCAGCTCAGGGTCCTGAGCTCTTGGGTCCATCAGCTCCTGAGCTCAGGGTCCGCAGACCCAGCAGTGTCCAGCCCTCCCACTCAGTGCTGAGTCTGCTTAAGACTCCCTCTCCCTCTTCCCCTCCCTCCATCTTTCAAATAAGTAAAT